TGCTGTAACCCGTGGCTCCATATACTAAGATAAAACGATCAGATACTGCTGAACGTGGACAAATATTAGAAGAGTGTCTATCAATCACAAGCTTGTCAGGTTTAAACGTCTGGCTGATCATACCTTAGGGTCATGACCAGCACACTAGGGTGGGGGTGAGCCGAAGTAGTAAATAAATCCTCGAAGTAAATAGTTCTATAAATTTTTAACATTGATACTGGCCTCGTTGGTTTTACTGGACATATCCTGCCTGAAGGCATTGCGCCACGCACCGAACGCTTCTAATGTATCGACACATTGAAAACTTCCAAATATGTCTTCCACTTCATTCATACCTAACACCCTATTTGACTGGGTTGGTGTTACAGACATGGACGATGTCACACCTTGAATATATGGGGAATTTTCGGCATAACTAACAGTATTATTTCATGTACATCGTAAAACGATAAAAAGAGGTAACTCTAACAGAAAAGTATGCAATCTCAGAAACAGTGATTCATCAGTTTACCACTGACTTCCCATATTAATGTGAACAAGTGGATTTCCTTATTTCACACACGTGATAGAAACTACTTTTATAAATGCTAAGTGACGTTGAAACAGGTAAACAACCTCCATCTTTAGAAATTACGCAGAACCCTCAATCTCTGTTTAATTCCTAACTGAAAAAGGGTATTTCATCAAACTTTGTCTCACCAACCGGTGGATATTACTGGTTAAGGAGCAAAATCTTTTTGAAAATAACGTAACAATGATTTTCACAAGTCAACTAAGGGAGTTTGTAAACATATACTCGCGCGCTATCTAAAAAGGACAGTGGTATTGTTTCTCGTTGAATTAGTAAATTGTTTTGATCGTAAATTACGTATCATAACTACGATTTACACTTTAATTGAATCTAATACAGTTAAAGTGATATTCTGTTGAGTTTTTTGGCTTTTGTGTATTTATTACGTTCGAAGCATTCTTGGTCTGTGTCAAAGTACTTTCGTTACGGTTTGAAATCTTGCTAAAGTTTTTCTTGTGGTAACCTTTTATTCGTTGACTGACATTTGTGTTCATACTGTGATCATATTGTGTATTACACTTTGATCAGACTAAAATGGTTGGTAGTACTCACAAATGTGGACAACCAAACTGTTTGTTCCCTGTGGAAGAGGGAATGCAGTGTGACGAATGCCATAAGTGGTTCCACAAAATGTGCACCCGCTTACGTCCCACCGCATACAAAAGATGCTCGAAGCCTAACTCACATTGGCTTTGCATGTTTTGATGTGCCAACAAGGCATTACTATGAGCCTGTTGGCTTTGGCCTGTAAAAAGAAGGATGGCATATACGCTGACAACACGGGCACTGACAGTGACGAATGTGTCAGTGTAGTACCTGCTGTTACGCGACGCCTCAAAGAACCGACTCTGACCGACGTAAAAGTGGAATCTTCGTTAACATTAACAGGGGGAGTAGTACCACCTGGTACTGACATTGTTAATAATGCACTTTCAATGGGAACCGAAGATCTGGATAAAACAGTCACCGTTCCAAATAGTCCCAGTGTTATGAGGGATGAAAAATGGACTACGGTACGTAGGAAACGAAACGAAAAGAAAAAAGCTGTAAGCAGTACACAGGTAGTTAGTAACTCACTGGTTGACTCAAATTGTGAGCCGAAAATTGCACTACCAAGATCTGATGGTAAGAGTGAAACCCATCCTGGCGTGACTGAGAAGAAAAATCTAGTAACATCGAATATTATTGTGAACAAATTGCGAGAGTCAAACGACCCTGATCCGAAAATTAGACACGCGCATGACTTAGAAAAGCTAGGAGAATACATTCGTAGTATTTTACCAGATAACTCCAAAGGAGTTCAGGTCAAAAAATTGGTAAGAATAGGCAACAGGACCGAGGACAATGTTGAATCCCGTCCATGCAGACTCCTTAAGGTAATCCTAGGATCGGAGAAGCAACGGGATCTCTTGTTGAGTAGCGCTCGTTGTCACGACAATTCTGACATCCGAGTTAGACCTGACATGTCTCTCAAAGACAGAATAAAAAGGAAGAAAGCACTAGCTGAACTTGAAACCCGTCGGCAAAACGGCGAGGAAAATCTCCGACTAGTGGGTTTTCGGATAGTCAGGTCTTGGAAGCGAATGCTACCAAGGCCTGTGTGGATAGGCTGTTCTACTTAGGAGTTTTATATGCCAACGCTCGTAGTTTACGAAATAAGTTCTATGAACTAGAAGCACTAGTAGACAGGTTGAAGCCACTCATAGTAGCAGTGAAAGAAACTTGGTTAGTCCATGACTTAGACATTACTCCAGAATTATCCGGATACCATTGCATCAGGAGTGATAGACATAGATGTAGAAAAGGAGGCAGCGTCCTGTTATATATAGCCAATGGCATAAATATCCGCTCCTCTACTAGCGAATCCCATGATAGCGGCACTTGTGAAGTCATTAGCTGTAAGTTGGCAATAGGATGTAGTACATTCATGCTAGGTGTCATCTATCGCAACCCAATTGGCTTAGCTGATGACTTTGTTTTAGAGCACATTCATCTTTGGAGTGATAATACCAGGTGCTTGATAATAGGAGACTTTAACGCACCTGATATTAGTTGGACTGATATGACCATAGAAGGATCTATAAACTCCTTTGATAGTAAGTTACTGATAACAATAATGGAGCATGCACTAGTGCAGCATGTATCCCAACCCACACGTTTTGGTGTTAACCAGGGTTCTTCTCTGCTGGATTTGTCATCACTTATGAGACTGAGGATATTGTCGACTTAAATATTCTTCCACCGTTAGTAAACAGCGATCACGCTGTTTTGTCATTCGCGTTTAGAACTAGGGACATGTTATACGATCAGGTTACACCGCGCCCAAATGTATGGAAAGCTCAAATACCAGCCATTCAGGAATGCGCTGCTAAGACAGATTGGTTAGTAGGTACTAGCATATCAGTTAAAGAAACATGATCCATATTTAAAGGTAAGTCTAGTTTAGTAGCGTCCTCGTTCATACCATACTTGGTACCGCGAAGACCGAATAACAGTACACCATGAATAACTAGACCCGTCAGAAAACTTCTTAGAAAAAGGAAGGAGCACTGGGATATGTTCATCTCTACTGGCTTAGAGCAATACAGATCCAGTTATTGTAAGATCAGAAATGCTTGTAAAGCCTTGATAAGTAAGACTAGACGACTATAAAAAAACAGTTGGTTGGAGATTCTAGATATAGTCCGAAACGGTTATTCTTTTATTTAAAAAGGCAAACTCAGAGAAGCGATGGAATTCTATCACTTTCGATACAAGAAAATCCGTTAGTCTTGGCAGATCGTGATACCGAAAAGCTGAAGCTACATCAGAATATTTCAGTAGTGTTTTTTATTAGTAATGAGGAACGACCAACAATTCATTATGAATGTGGCGGCTCGCTGATGGATCCTGTAGTCATTGAAAAAGGCGCTGTTTTAAAGCTACTTCAGCATCTCAAACCTGATAAGTCCAGTGGTCCTGATGATATTCGTACTAGGATTATGAAAGCCATATCGGATGTAATCTCTGAGACATTAGCGATACTGTTTCACATGTCTCTGAGGCAGTCCAAACTGCCCAGAGATTGTAAAGACGCTATAATAAGTTCGGTGTATAAGGTTGGGAGTAGGGATTTAGTTAGAAACTATAGACCCGTTAGCTTGACTAGTGCGATTGTGAAACTGATGGAAAAAATCATTCGGATATCTGTTATAAACTATGTTGAAGGGCATAATCTTTTCTCCACGGAACAACATGGTTTTCGGATAGACCTATCATGCTTGACAAATCTTCTCATTGCAAGAGAAGATTGGGCTGCCGCAAAAGATCGAAATGTTCCTGTTGATGTGATCTTCATAGACCTAAGTAAGGCCTTCGATAAGGTCTCCCATTCTGGTTTTAAATTCAAACTGGAACGTTTTGGAATCCATTAAACAGTCGTAGATTGGATAAGTAACTTCCTCCATGACAGGAGACAAAAGGGTATGGGTAAATGGGGCTCTCTCCTCGTGGGTACCCGTAAAAAGTCGAGTTTCCCAAGATACAATCTTCGGCCCTCTTCTCTTTTTACTCTGTGTAAGTGAATTACCAACTGTAGCAAAATCATCCGTTCTACTCTTCGCTGATGACATATAGATTTGGAGACCCATACATAATATGTCGGATAGAATAGTACTACAGGACGAACTTAGCTCATTAGTGGCATGGTTGAACAGGTGGTCACTAGAAGCAAATCCTAGTAAGAGTGTAGTGATGCAGTTAAATAACTCTGATGAATCGTATGAGTATACACTACGTGGATTCGTGCTACCCAAAGCAAGAAACTATAAAGACTTAGGAGTTATATTAAGCAATGATCTCAAAACGACTAGTCACTGTAAGGCTGCTTCTGCAAAAGGCTATAGGGTATTATGGTCAATTCGTAGGTCTTTTCAGTATTTAGATGGTGAAATGTTCGGATTACTATACCCGATTTATGTGCGACCACATTTAGAACACGGGATTCAAGCAGCGAGTCCTTGTTTCAAATATGAAGCAGATATGCTAGAAAGAGTCCAACGACGAACTACCAAGATGGTACAAGGTCTAGCTGGCCTATCTTATGAAGACAGACTGAGACACCTTAACTTATTTCCGTTATCTTACCGTAGAGTATGGGGTGATCTAATATTGGCTTAACGTATACTGAACGATGACTTTGGTATTAACATGTCTTATCTTTTGCTTCCGTCTAGAACCGATCATTGGAGAGGACATTCGAAGAAAGTTCAAAAACCGAGATCAAACAGTTTACGTCTGGATTTCCGTTTCTCCCACCGAGTAGTGAATTACTGGAATTCTCTACCGGAACACGTAATATCAGCACCGTCTGGTAATATATTCAGAACGAGATTGGACCTCCACAGTATTACAAACTGCAAGGATTAATATAGGTCGACAGACCACCTATCCTTATTACTGAAGACTGAAGACTGACCTTGGACATAATTCAACTGAGGCGCTACAACAGCGTGCTTTATATCGATGAAACCAGGTAAGCTGTAGTTTCATGGTAAATTCATCACTCCTATATTAAAGAATCAGGCGGAAATTTCAGAGGTGGACGCGGTAGAGGTGGTCACAGGCATAGTTTCGGTGGTGAGAAAAGCGTTGGTGATGAAAGCCGAGGTGGAGGTAGAGGTGGACGTTTCAGTGAGAGAGGCGGGTTCAGAGGTGGACGTGGGGGTGACTTCGGTGGACGTGGTAGAGGACGAGGTGACTTTGGTGGTCGAGGTCGTGGAGGTTTCAATAGGGGGACACCTCGAGGGAGGGGTGGACGTGGAGGAATGAGAGGAGGGAAAAAAGTGTTGATAGAGCCCCATAGACATGAAGGTATTTTTGTTGCTAAAGGCAAAGAGGACTGCTTGGTAACGAGAAATGTTGTCGTCGGCGAGTCTGTTTATGGTGAAAAGCGAATCAGCGTAGAGGATGACGCGGGTGGTAAAATTGAATACAGAGTGTGGAATCCATTTCGATCGAAATTAGCAGCAGGCATAGTTAACGGGCTTGATCAGATTCATATCAAGCCAGGGAGTCGTGTTTTGTATTTGGGAGCTGCTAGCGGAACTACTGTCTCTCATGTTTCTGATGTAGTCGGCGCAGATGGAGTAGTTTATGCTGTAGAATTCTCGCATCGTTCAGGACGTGATCTTTTGAATGTCGCTAAGCATCGAACAAATGTGGTTCCAATAATAGAAGATGCTAGACATCCTCACAAATACAGGATGCTTGTTGGTATGCATATGTTAAAGGTTAATATGTTTTAGGTATGGTGGATTGTATATTTGCTGATGTCGCTCAACCTGATCAGTCTAGAATAGTGGGGGTCAACGCCGAGTACTACTTAAAGAACGGAGGTCATGCTGTTATATCCATCAAAGCCTCATGTATTGACTCGGTTGCTGCTCCTGAGGTTGTGTTTGCAAAGGAAGTAGATACACTACGAAAATTACAATTCACTCCACGTGAACAGGTTACTCTTGAACCATTCGAACGCGGTCACGCTATGGTAACCGCTCAGTATCGGTAAGTTATAATTCTACATATAATTGTTTTTCTTCAGAGCACCAAAAAAGGTTAAGACTGAGCAATAATGGCGTTTATTTGGTTTGTATATGTAAATAAAATATTTCGTTGAGACATTTCGAGATTGTACAACACATGTAATAAACGTTTTAGTGATTCACACCGCTTATTTTCCAGTTATTACTGCGTTGGCCCAATGGTACCTCACTGAGGATTACGCAGTTGAATATTTGAGTTTCGTATCTTACACGAATTCGTGCAGAATTTCAAAGTGGCTTTCTGTTCTCCTTACCATTATGCATTAACTTTTCACCTAGTGACAGTATGCAGAATACATACATATCAGGAACTTCGTGACTTGAGTTTTACTAAAAATAAACTAGCGCAAAGTTTTGGAATTATCAATGCGGAGAACATGATAATTACAGTACCTATAAGTTTTGTACTGTTTAGTCGTTTCGAAAGTCCGTTGTGTCACTGAGTGTATTGGAGACCTCTGTATGAAGAGTACTCAACTTTCTCGGGTCATTGATGTTTTCACCACAATGCTCTTCTACGTGGGCTACGTTTATTTTCCAGGTGTAAGTCTCGTCGTACAGTCTGTTCAGTTTCTTTATGTGGTGCGATGTGTTAAGTATACTATTGAAAACAATGGTTTTTGATGTCTTAACGACGTTTGATGCGCAATATTTTGGCCGTTTTCATATCAGTACTTTTGCTTAGACCAAAAAAGCGAGACAATGCTACATGATGAGAGGTATTTGTTCTGAAGCTAAATAGATTATATTTGAAAGCTTAATAGAAAACGAGACTGAGGATCTGTTAAGATAACTTCAGAGGTCTTAACCGTTAAAATGTGACAGCCATTCAATTCTTAATGAGGACTCCAACCAAGTGTTATTCATGGCGCTACTTGTTTCTGAATAATATACCGGATGCGTTGTATAGGCTTGGAATCTCAAATGTACGTTGCTCAAAGATACCAAGCGTATGACTAGTTGGGCCCTCCATATAGTATGAATAATAAGATCCTCAATTCGAAGTGAGAAGCGTGCTTAGGATTATCTTTGCGCAGTGCAGCGTAACTTTAGTTTGCAGACTCATTAGTTGCCGTAGGATAGGTTCAGAAATGTTTTCGTATCGGCATGTCACTCGTTTAGTGGTTAAGACAGTGATTACTAGTTTAGGCTGATGTCCACGCACTTTGTTTCTGGGAGTTGTGTTCTGTAATCCCCTCACGATTAGTAGCACAAAATCGTTTGGATGAACTTGTTACACGTTTTGTGCAATAATGTTCGTTACCGTGTAACTGTTTGAGAAGCGGTTTACTAGTCCAAGATCCTGTAAATGTTTCGCACAACATTACTATGGATAGACAGCATGACTCGTGCAGGATCGAGAAGTTAGTACTCTTGATAAAGACAAACTAGTCTGAATTTATAAACTTCTTTTGTTGTAGCAGGTAGGTAAAAGAATTTGGATTTAAGTCAATACTGAATTTTGTGAAGATTATCTACTATGGCAGGTCCAAACACAGACCATCGGACTGAATTTATATAACAGGCAAATATGCTTACTAGTTTGACTGAAAATCTAATTCTAAAACAAAAGGTTAGATCAAGGAAAAAGAAATGCACCCGATTGGGCATCGATCGGACTATTAGCTTGTCTCCGGCGCACTATGACGCTCACTATTGTTTGTCGAGTAGGCGATGTTTTGTATATCCTATGCATTTCAGCCGATGAAAGTTTAACCCTGTTAATCGACCCTGTATCCTTAAATAACCCATTACACCTAACCCCAGCTTAACCCGATTGACGGTTTCTTCATGTTGAGAGGGGCTTGACGAAACTGAAAAATGAGGTTGTCACTACACTAAATTACTTATTGCCAAACTAGCCGCAAAATCAAACCAGTTTTACGTCACCACTTTAAATTCAAAGGAAGGGAAGCGTATCCTGAACACTAGTTTGCTGAGTCTTTGTTAATCATGAATGCTACTTTTCGTTGAAAAGTGGACCTCCTAGTAGCAGTTAGTCCCCAAAAGTCAGACATAAGAACTGTTACGACAAAATAGATCAAGATTATTCCATAATATTTAAAAAACTGTTTGCAGAAGAATGGACAAAACCTTAATATTTGTTCGTTTTAATTAAAGGCATATTTAAAATCGTCGCAAACAATTTATGTTAATCGATAGCTAGTTTCGCATTTTCGAGGTTCACTTGGTTAACATGGCTGGTTTCAAGTAGTTAAACTCTGAGAAGTAAGAAAATGCTTAAGTATCACAAATAGTGTACAGATCTTTTGATATAAAATTTAGATGTTATCGTCATTTATAATAAGCCAAAATAGTAAGGATTTGTAAGCTGAATGCGCCCGAGTATATACAGCAGAAGTCCATAATTAACGAGGCGGAATATATTTAGTCATAATTAGCGCCACAACATATGATGTGAAATCACTTCCCTGATAAAAAGACAAAGAGATGTAGTTTATTTCTCATTTATTGTCAGTATGCTGATATAAAACAAATCCCATAGACATCTACGGCGGAATAAATACTCGGAAACGATGGTTTAATTGTTCCTGCACGTGAAGACGGCTTGCATTACTAAATGCGCCGTCACCCGCAAGCTTTTGGCAGCAGAAAACTCGCCGAATGCGATTATGAAGCAGAGCCATACCACACATCAGACATGGTTCAAGTGAAAAGTATGCATCAAAACCTGTACACAAGTAAGAATCAGAGTACTGATTTCCTGTATTCTGTTTTAATTTAGCAACAGCTGATACAGCAAGTAATGCTGCATGATCTAACCAAGATATATCTGATGTTATCGTAGGTGTAGTTGATTCTGCTAATGCAATATTCGATTCTGGATCCACTATGATGACTGCACAAGCCGGACCATCAACGCCTGCACATGATTGTGGGTGTATATCACTTAGTTCTTGCACTTGTTTTGACAAGGTAGAAACACGTTTGAGCCATAATGAATGCCTGAAAAAGATAACACAAGTATTTGTATTTTATATAACAACGTGAAAATTAACCAGTAGAAGACAGTTCCTTATGAGAAGTCTTCGGTCTACTCTACACCACTAAAGAAATCAATATCGCGAATTTTGCTAAAACGAGAGATTAACATAGCATGTTTGCCAATGCCGAAGTAAGCGCCTAGTGTTTTACTCAAATTTCAGCATAAGTTGCATACTGAGCTCGGCATTAAGTTTCCATTGAAAAACGGACTCTTATTTTATTGTACAACACATGACTTTCCCAGGCACCAAAGGTGCTAAGTGATAATTCGTACATCTCCATCGTCTCATCATCATACAACACTAAACTTAGTAATAACAATATAGTATGAAACCCGTTTAGTACATAAGTACGCTATTAGTATCATAAATACATTGATGTCCAATATATAAATTCTAAAGACTAAACAACCTACTTTTTTAGCTCTAATTCTGAGAAACATGATAACGACAAGCTTCGTCCAACGTTCACTAGTTCCTCAAGCTCGGGACAGGCTCGTAAAGTGGATGGCCAACCTAAAATAATTGGTTCATTAAGTGAATTTTTGAACGATGAAAATCTCTTCTCTTGTGATTCATTTGAAAATGAGTAGAGGAGCTGATGCTTGCGAGTTATTGGTGCATGAAGTGGTATCCAGCAGGGTGTTGGGGATGTGCTAATAAACTGGTGATCGGATGAATTCAATTGTAGTAAGTCGACCATAGATTTCAAAGTTTCATTGGCATCTAGCCATGTATAGCTGCAACAAATGGAGGCAAAAGAAAACACACATATTTGAATCTTCATTATAATCTAGAAAGTAGCAATAGCAAACTATCGGTTCACTACACCAAATATGAGACAATAATAAATATTGAACCCCAAACTGCAGAGTTAGTTAACAACTAAGGTAAACCAGACTTTAGCTCACAAGTCCAAATAAGTATAATCTCGAATAATATGGAAATCATCAAACAACAAACATTACGTTTAATTTATTTTCTCGGAGTTCTAATCTTCCTGTTGTTGGTACGAACTGCAAATGATCACATTCTGGCATATGTAAATCAGCTCAAGATGAGTATATATATATATATATATATATATATATATATATATATATATATATATATATATATAAAGCAACGAATTGTGAAAAAGACTCTAGGAACAAAATCTTCATAGGTCGGACATTTCCCAAAGCCACAAAATAAGTGAGCAGCCATTTTCACAAAGTTATGCAGATGCAGATAATACTCATATATACTGGTGGATTGACAGCTAACCTTAAACCTAACTCGGTTTGATATTTGGTTGCAACGGATGTTGCTTACATTAATTAATTTAGGACAATGAATTGGTTGGTCAGTGAAACGTAGGATAAGATTGGTGCAAACCAAGACATGATCAGAGTCCAGGTACACACTGCAAAAATGGCCAGTCTCAGATTTTTTGAATATGTTCCAAAAAGCCTCAGAACAAGAGAAAGAAAGACTCTAAATAGGGCAATCACCAAACATCTTGATACAGGACATCAGGTCGATACCCTACAATCATTCAAGGTGATTGGTAAGCAGCTAAACTCCAGTCTTCTAAAGTTTGCTGAAGTAGTTGCTATCAGACGCCAAAAACCTGATTTATGTGTTCAAAAGGAGATGGTTATTAATCTTTTCTTGCCTTGGTGACTAATATTCCTTCGCTGTATCTTAATATTTTTTTCGTTTTCTTTCAACTCTTTCTTACACTTATCACATCACTGAGTTTTATTCCAACTATCTTCCAAATTAATAATCTTATTTTATCAACTGAACTCTACTCATTTTATTCCTATCAATGTTTACTTGTTTCTAGCTGTTTGAACTGCTGTCACAATGTTCTTTTACATAAGGTATATATTTACAATATTCAGTCTACAAAATTTATTTACACCCTTGCTATACTATACGAATATGTCTTCAATAAAACTTCCAATCAAACTCTTTCATGTAAGTAATTCAAACCCATTATGTAATTATGATTTTTAAATATCACAGGTTGTAAGCAGCTGACGAGAACCAACGAAATAAAAGTGAATCCATCAACTACTGTTCTCTTTATTTTATAACAAGCGTTATAATTGTTTTGTAATGGTCGAACTGTTGTTTAAACCATATTTTCCGGTGAATATTTAAACCAACTACATCAGACCAAAACGTGTTTGCACGACCTAGTTTCATGTGAAACGCCCGTCTTTTGGTTCACATTTTGTTAGTTTCTCACTGTGCTGACGTAAAGTGTGACATAAAAGAGAAATGGATAGAATCCAATTACTCCTTAATTTGCTCCTTTTTGGAAATTGAAATAATTGGAACGAAATGTATAGTCTACTCAAAGTTATTGTTGTTGTAAAGAGTGACAACACAAAACAATAGTATTTATAAACAATAATAATTTACTGTAATCATTTCACCGCGAAAAATGTTTGGCCTATGAATTATTGTTACTATTCCCAATTTCATCTGTTTTACAACGTTGTTCTCATTCTAGATTAGTGTAAAATATACAACTTATTGATATACGAGTTCATTGAGAGTTTGTCGCTTATTTTTTCTTCAGAATACGTGTGGATTGGTCCTACCCCTAGGCTTTGGCTTTCTCTCTTCTGCAGCAGATCAAGTAAGTCGATTTCTTCATGTTTACTCATTGCCATATTTCTGAGAGTGCTGCAATACTGTCTCGCAGCTCATGTTGTACCATATAGCGTTTCCCTAGGGGCCACAAACTCAGAATCCCATCCACAGGACAGTGGAACAACGTCGGATTATCCAATTCCATAGTAGCCGGTGATTAACAATAGGTTCATAAGCCGTCCGATCGCATCAAGGTTATAGCTGACATGTGCACCATAGGTTTGGAATGGAGGTTTGACAGCTCTCGTGAACGGACTACCTTTATCCACTAACCGAGTTTAAGAACCAGACGTCCGCTTTTTGTCCTCTCGTAACCAACACTCATGCAGTGCGCAAAACGTTTCCCGCAGTGACTATAAAAACGTAGCCATAAGAGCTTTTCGAAAGGAACACAGAACTACTTTCATCCCTGATCGAACCTCAACTGCTCAATTATTGGTTAAGCAGTATTAGTTTTTTTGAAATACCGAAACTAACACTTTCGAAATTATACCTTCATCATACAATAAAAACGTAGGAATCAATTCAAGGTTCCAAATCCACTCTATTTACTTCGATTTAGAAGGCCCGTAATACCACTAGCGCTGCGATAAATGGCCCGAAACCGACCACATGAACCAGTGGTTAGTAAGTGAATTACAACATGAGAAACAAATACTAATTGGCACTTGATACGTGCTGATAACGTTCACAACACAAACCTTGATTTGGCTATCTGCAAAAAGACATAAGTTGATTTATTTTCATATGATCGGCAACTGTCTATTCGTTTAATATGACTGAGCTCCCCAGGGAGTGGAACAAATGATTGTAAATATTGATTTATTTTACTTAGATGATGTTCTGAATGAACTGCAACACACCAACCTGGTACTAAATGTGGTCGACAACATTCAACTTCATGCGGAAGTATTGCTACTAATTCGGAGGCGATAATGCAGTGGTTGTTTCGTTTCATAATAAGATGACCGTCCAGTCGCTTGCGTTTAGATGCCATAGAATTGATCTGCGATGAAAAATGAATTGACGTAACTTCAAATGAAACATAGGCATTATGTGAACTAGCCGTTTTTTACGAGATAAAAGAAAATGTGTGAAATAATTAAGGAAATTAAAATACCTGGTGATAAATAGGAGTAAATACCAACTAAGAATCCATTAATTAAAGATTATTGACATAAAATTGTCAGCTGTCTATCATACTTGGAAATTCGAACAAATTAAGTAAATTATTTCCACAGTTTACTGAATTTTAACGACAAATAACGGTCTCATAATGATATGGATTACATATCAATACGTTGAATGTAAAGCGGTCACTTTTTTGATGTCAAATCAAATACAAATGAGGTTTTCAAATCTTTGCATTAACAGTGAATCAGTTATCACTTAATTTTCCTCAAAATCGTTTATTTTTGATCCCACATTACGCGATTATTCAATGTATTCTTTATTGGTTGATAGATTAGTACAATGTCGATCGGTTATGATTATTGTGGCAACCAACTATCATTGGAACCTATATACGTGATTAATGTTGACTCCACATCAAGTTGAAAAGACAGTGAAATAAACAAAGTATTTTCTTAAGTCTAAACGAAACTGTTTATACATATGAATTAACGCACTTGCCGCAAGACCAGCTTTACTGAACCCACAGGACATGGAAGCAGCACACAGAGACTTTCTCATAGGTGTCACTTCACCAACGAACGGAGAAATCAGCATGACCATCAGACAAATCAAGAGTGGGAAGGCAGCAGGACCTGACAATATACTAGCTGAAGCACTGAAATCAGATATAAAAGTGATTGCAAACATGCTCCACATTCTATTTAGGAAGATTTGGGAAGAGGAACAAGTGCCCACAGACTGTAGAGAAGGACAACTAATCAGGATACCAAAGAAGGGAGATATGAGCAAGTGTGGGAAATACAGAGACACTACAATACTATAAGTACCCGGACATGTTTTCAGTAGTGTTGTTCAACCAGATGGAAGGTTCAGTAGACACCCACCTTCAAGACCAACAGGCTGGACTCCGTAATGATCGATCGTGAACAGACTTACAACTGGAGAACATATGGAACTCAAAACAACTGCCAGCCAACACCGAAGTCAGAATCCTCAATGCGAATTTCAAGACAGTTCTACTGTACGGAGCTGAAACGTAAAGAACTACTACAACCATCGTCAAAAAGGTACAAGAATTTATAAACAACTGTCCACTGGGCGGATACCATCAGCAACAGCCCAATGTGGTGGAGAATAAACCAGCTTCCAATTGAAGGAGAAAGTAGGAAGGACGTTGGAGGCGGGTAGGATATACAATGCGGAAGTCATCAGACTGCATCACGAGACAATCCCTAACATGGAATCCTGAAGGGTAGAGGAAAAGAAGACCAAGGAATGCATTGTGTCGGGAATTGGAAGCGGACATCAAAAGAGCAAACAGCAATCGGAAAGGATTGCCCAGGACATGGTCGGATGGAAGATGTTGGTGGGCTGCTTATGCTCCTCCACGTCAGTCAGTCAGTAACAACGTAGAACTTCGTACGTACGTACATCAGTTCGAGTTGCCACACCACATTACCACAGAGATGCAGTTGTCGATTCAAATCCCATAGTGGTAGAGGTAGTAAGAGTATAAGCAGTAATCGGGAAGATTAGGGTTTGGAGATGTTATTTAAAGAGTATAATACAGTGAAATAAATTTGGAAAGAGAAAAAAGAAAGGGACATGAAGAAGTCAGAAGATTAGAATTTGGGAGAACACAGAGAGTGGATGCACCTGCGCCATTGCAAACGATTTTGAGCCATGTCATTCAAGATCTCTAACCATCGGTTGCTATCATCTCGCGGTTCTCAACCAGGTAGTGTACAAATACCAACATGGCTAAGTCCACTTGTCAGTGACTTCATGGATTTGTGCCAGGTTTTAGTCTGGCCACCCCTAGCTTTCTTCCAACCTACTCCTACACCATTGAACATCGCACGTCGAGGCAGTCGGTCGTTGGGCATACGTAACACGTGTCCCAGCCATCTCAACTGATGAAATTTCACTACTTCATCAATTGATTTGCCATCCTTACCTAGTACCCGTTTCCTAACAACTGTGTTACTTACTCGATGGTCCCATGATATACGAGCAATGTTTCGAAGACACCTATGGTCGAATACTAGTAACCTACGAATATCCTCTACTCTTATCAGCCATGTTTCACTGCCATAAAGTAGGACGGGACGAACTGCTGCACAGTAAACACGTCCTTTGGTTGATAGACGGATATCTCGCCTACGCCATAAATGACACAAGTTGGCAAAAGTTAGTCGAGCTTTCTGTATCCGTGCTGAGATTTCGTCACACACCAGATCACAAGGGCTGATGAGACTTCCAAGATAAGTGAAGCGGTCGACACACTCAACTACTTCACTCCCTATCACTAGTTCGCGTGTCGATGCAACCCAATCCTGAAGCAATATTTTGCATTTAGACTGGGAGAATCACATGCCGAACATGCTTGCATTGTTGCTTAGAGTGGTCAGGAGACTCTGCATTTTGTCAGCGTCTTCACCAAATAAAACTATGTCATCAGCATATTCCAAGTCAACAAGTGAACCTCCTGGTAGAAGTTCAACCCCTGATAATTTAGATGAAGAGAGTGTTATCTCTAAAAGTACGTCGACCACAAAGTTGAGCAAGAATGGGGAGAGTGGACAGCCCTGACGAACACCACTTGAGGTAATCAATTCTGATGACAGTTCGCCATAGGCTCTTACTCTACCAGTTGTGTTCGAGTAGAGAGCCTTTATAAGGTTAATGTACTTCTTTGGTACTCCTTTCAGTGACAAACACTGCCATAGAACCTTACGATCAACAGAGTCGAATGCCGCCTTCAGGTCGAGAAATACTACCTTACGGCGGCACCTGTAACAGCTCCTGCACGAGGGGTAACAGACGTAATTAAGTACTTTCGGCTGGTTAAATACACCCAGATTTGTGTAAGTTTTCGTTAGCCTGAATGTAGCGAAAACATAAAACAGAAGCAGGGTAAGTGAATGTAAAAAATATGGTTTGTGAAACTCAGCCACTGTTGCCTTTAATTGATACAGAACTACTTACCAAACACATGTTCGTGTCAGGTGGTTGTCAGCTTGAAACACTGGACCTGTGCTCCAGATTAGTTGGGACGTCAACAAGGCATCCCTTCAGTTGTGAAGGAACTGATGCTTCTTGTGGGTTTTAGACTTATGTTACCTAGCTTTACAGCCTGAGACGTTACTATTCAGCTTTTAGGGCTTTAATTGACACGCTACAAAACTGAGATATTTATAATTGATTGATTGCTGAGTAGTGACAAATGTTACCCTTGTGTAGTATTTTAGCTCTGACCGAATTATAGCAATCAAGTTGCAACGTAGCCACCAGTCTGAGTGATTTGACGTTGAGTAAGTTATTGCGAAATGTCAGGTGGTCGAAGGTAGTTGGAAGGAAACCGAAGACCCAGTTTTCGTGTTATCTGGCGACGTTGAATCACTTCGACTATTGGCCGCATTGTAACTTGACTAATTAGCATTACAGGAATAAACAAACATAGTATTGGTCACTGATCAGTCAAACGTACAGATATGTGTACTCGGCTTTTGTGTCAAGGCTAGAGATAGTACCTGCCTAACCGAACATTAAAGTGGAGTGGGATTCGCATTTGCAACCATGTAGTTAAAGGTCAAGTAATTTAATCATGGACGCGATGGTAGCAACTAAAAACGATTACTGAAAGCAATCTAATAAGCTAACTGTGAAAATGACAAAAAAATTAGACGAATAACCAACTTGTGAGTTATCATCTAACTCCGGTAAGAAGTAGATGTCATCGTTTGACTCGGCTTTACTGTCCTTACTGTAAACTGATAAATGATTATCGACATCTTTAATATCCAATCCAACAAATTTTAAAAGGCTGGTCACTCGTTTTACATAAACTGGATGTATTGATATGAGATTCTCCTGAGAACTAATTATATATTCCTTTATATCTGGAAATAATTAGATAGAAATGAACACTTATATTTGTGTTTCTACTGTGCAGATTAACAAGTGACACGAACAAAAGTAAATGATATCATCATTATAATGCACCACAAACACATAACATAGTTTGAAAAGTCCTGACTTGCGTAATCTTCCAGAGTCCAGCTAGAGTTCTAGAACACTCGCGCCTGAGCATCCACGAATGGTTATCATACCTTAGGGAACTGCATTCATGACTGTGATGCGCCTTCCCACGAACAACAGCCCAGCAACCCTCAACAAATTTACGATAGGCGAAGGCCGGACATTAAGCATTTGTTGGGGCCCTTCAGGAAAATATATAATAATATTGACCAACATACCATCTCTATCGAATAGGCTGTGGGGATTTGACGACTATTTTACGACCATTTCTCTAACATACAAGTTTTATATACGGCTTCTGATTCTTGTAGAAATGCAAATCCTGAACCGCACAATAGTAGTATGTTGCCTTTCGTGTACTGATAGCGTTCTTTAACCCTTCAGGCGATTGGAAGGCTACCATGTACAATGTAGTGGAAATAGACATTATCGGTGTCCGTGACGACATTTGAAACGATAGAGCTAGTACTTTGTAAGTTATCAACGTTCGTAGTTTGGAGAAAAGGTGAACATTGAAGGAATATTTACTCTTTACATTACTTTTCAAAAATTAATAACCAGCAGCTACAATTTTAAAACTATTCAAGTCATTTGACCAAACAAGATAGAAAATTTCTTCAATGAAACAAGGTACAAAAATTGCTATGTTGTAGATGCTATTCTTCTTTCACATTACAAATATCATATTTAACACACCTATTAACATATACACGGCTAGATCTCACCGGAATAACATAGCATTACCATGATCAGACCTATGTTAATTTCGACGACTGAAAATATCCTACATTGTGCCTTTTGCACTATTCAAACTTCTATTTATTTTTATTCTTCGAAGAAGTGAATTACACTAAATGACGAAACGTCGAAAGTGTAGTGTTTCTAGTTATTAGGACTTTACAAATAAATTATATCATAAAACTACATGTTGGATTCAATGATTTTGTGTTTTAAAATAAACTGTTGACGAAATTTATTATTCTCCTCTTTTTTAATGACGTAAACTCATTGAATGGAACTGCTTAATTCAAAACAGTGATGAATAATATTTTACGCTGACGTATTTTACTAATAGTCATATTGGGAGGGTCAGAACGTACTTATCAGTGAAATGTAGGGTGCCTATTCTCCCGTTCTGTCGAAAATAAAAAATAATGAAGCTTGAAGGAAATATTTTCCATAACTGGTAATATAACAACTTTACTAAGTACAGGATTATGAATCCAGCTTAGAATTACGCATTGTGTAGCGACTAATTATACTGACCAACTGAAATATACGTAATGGTGTTCAAACCTGGGACCTGCTGGTTGACAGCCAAGTGCTTTAACCACAATGCTACTGCTTTATCTTTTATCGGATAAGAGTCTTTATATTTGCGGATTTATTAAAAAATATGTATAAACGTACCAGCATACTTTTCAAGTAAGTGATGAAGACAGGACACGCAATTTTTGCAGCCGCCAATGCTTACATTTATCTGTAGAGAAAAAAGTAATCAATGGAAACATAATCCAGAAATCACACTTAGGAAATCGGACGCTTTTTGGCTCATGGGTAAATCAGATTGAAAAACTACTTGCGAAACCAGACTTTAGAAAACGTGTCAAGAAATATTATAGTTATCGCGTAATCATTTCATAACCAACTCACTCCTACACCAGTTAATAGTGCATTTTAACGTGGGTCGCGGTTGGGCATATATAACACATGTCCCAACTACCTCAGTCGATGAAAACCCACAACGTCAACAAACGAGATGCTATACTGGTCTAATACTCTCTACTAACTATAGTATTGTTCGATCTTGTTCCACAATATGCGAGCAGTGCATTAAAGACACCTGTGATCAAAAACGAGGAGCGTTTGACTTTCAGTTGCCATGTTTCCATATCATAGAGTAATACAGAACAAACCGTTGCATTGTACTCGCCACTTTGTTGAAAGCTGACACAAAATGACAAAAGCTAAACTAGCTCTCTAAATCCATTCAGAGAATTAATTAACCAGCAAGTTGCCAGGAGTGACAAAAATTGCAAGATAAGTGAAATGTTTGCCTTATATGTAGTTGTTTAATTACTTTGGATGGGGAGGAATTTATTGCCATTCGATACCATCTAGTATTATTTAACTGGTTATCTAATTAACAGGGATAAAACTATCACTTATTTATTTCGAATCGGCTTCTTAAACTAGTTTGAATATGGCCATTTGATCAATATATATAGCTAAAATAAATTCTAGGTGAGGACCTAATACATGTCATTCAGATAATAAAACCATTTGAACAGAAAAATAACCATCATTTTTAAAAAGTTCCAATCACTTTTAAAATCCATATGAATAAATAGTTAGAATAACTTTTCAAGCGTTATGTAGCGATAAAATAGCAAATAGAAAACCCCAACACACTCAATATGATTTTCATGCTTATATCATGATACGGTGACTTGTTGGTAAACTTTCTTCGTTAATTCAAAATATTTCTGCAATGAGAATGATATGACGATTGGCTAACCAATATAATCAGTGTAGAAACCAGATACAGCAAATACAATTAAATTGTTTACGATGGTTACAAAGCATTCGACTAAGTAATCAAGTACAGGTAGTAAGCTTTGAGCCGTATTCGCGCGAAATATGATACAATAATTTACTTCTCAGATAAAAGTTGATTAGTGAAACTAAATTTCCATTCAAACAACAGTTCTGTGAAAAGATTGGACAAATATGTATGCACATGGCATTTACTTGATCGGAATGGTGCAACATATTCAAATCTAACTCAATATGAAGACAAACAAAGGATTTACATAATCTTATTTTCAACATTAAGGTTGTGGTAAATGTCGGCATACTATTAACACTAATAAGCAGTTTTTGACATTATTGATTAATGTTGTATTCAAGTACATGAACAAATATCATAGTCAATGTTAATCAATACCATAACTTTTTATTTACATTGGTGGGATTTGGTCTGTACTATATTCTGACTAACTGCAAATGAACATGGAGTATTATTTAAAGTAAACCTTAAAATATTACTGGGGGAAAAACTATTGAAGAAAACTATTATGCAATAAGGCGGTAATACTGTAGTGAACGAAAAGGCAGGTAAGGTAAAGCAATTTGTTTTACGCAAAAGGACACAGTGCCTTTGTAAAATATGAAAAACACACATTAAATACATCAATTGCACATTTCCCTTAAGTTGTCCTTTACATACTCCATTCCTCCAATTCTGTTGTTATTTCGACTGCTCTGTTTTCCTTACTCTTCAACTTATTTCAGTCCTCTGCTGGTATGCATTTCACTTCAAAAACCTGTCATATACTACTAATATCTGTCCGCGTAAGTAGCGCACACCACAATATCACTTTCGATGAACTTTAAATAAACAACACTGACCAACAAAATACAGACATACTTCAGTCCAATTGTGACTACAATTAATAAATCTCAAAATACACAAGCTTGTCATTTGTGCGCTAGTTACAACCAGGCGTTAACAAAGCAATATGAATGCGATCATATTGAGTTTCTTATGAGTTATCTTAAAACGCCACACATATTTGTTGCAAAACTTGTCTTAATCATAACAAATATTCGAATAAAGTTAACTCATATTGGAAAGTGTACTCAGTATAAAAGAGATTAAGAAAATTAGAAAATGATCAGTGCAAAAGAAATGCAATACCTTTGTGTATTCGTCTGACATTTTGCTGCCTGTAGTTTGGATAAAATTAGATCGATAACTTTTTCAAATATAATTAAGAGTTAAGAAGATTAGTGCAGTAAAGTAAATCTATATTAGTTTAATTGTAACCAATTTACAACAAGCACTAAAGTTCGATTTAGTTTGCAATGAATCATTCATTATATGAATCACTACTGGGACTAAACTTTTGCTGCCTGAGAACACGTTGATTACTATCCATCATAGCGTATACCAATGCTGTTCCAAATATTGTATGACCCAAAAGCAAACAGGTGCCAACAGTTCGAAATGAGTTACTATAGAGTTTGAACATTCTCCACATACTTTTAACATCAAGCAGGTCAGGTACGGGGTAAGATCGTGTGATAAGTGCAGAGGCTGCAGAAGAGAGAAAGCCAAAGCCTAGGGGTAGGACCAATCCACAAGTATTCTGAAGAAAAAATAAGCGACAAACTCTCAATGAACTCGTATAACAATAAGTTGGATATTTTACACTAATCTAGAATGAGAACAACGTTGTAAAACAGATGAAACTGGGAATAGTAACAGTAATTCGTAGGCCAAGCATTTTTCGCGGTGAAATGATTACAGTAAATTATTATTGTTTATAAATACTATTGTTTTGTGTTGTCACTCTTTACAACAACAATAACTTTGAGTAGACTATACATTTCGTTCCAATTATTTCAATTTCCAAAAAGGAGCAAATTAAGGAGTAATTGGATTCTATCCATTTCTCTTTTATGTCACACTTTACGTCAGCACAGTGAGAAACTAACAAAATGTGAACCAAAAGACGGGAGTTTCACATGAAACTAGGCCGTGCAAACACGTTTTGGTCTGATGTAGTTGGTTTAAATATTCACCGGAAAATATGGTTTAAACAACAGTTCGACCGCCCCCAAATGCCCTGGTACGGCCGAGAGTGGGGAAAGTCCGCTCTCCCTCTCGAAATGCTCTCACATGACCAAGCATCAAACATTACATAATAGTTAACAAGCTTAACTCTAAACGCCCTAGTACAGTTAAGAAACAGTTCACTCTCAATCTTGAAATGCTGACATGACCACAGCTGGATAAGCTCTACTTACCACCTTCTCGCTGCATAGGTGCTGTTTAGAGAAATGAGAAGACAAACAGTGCTTGGACCGGGTTGGTGGGTACTACGGACCTCCCAAATATGACAATGAGTAATTATGAGGAAATCGACTTACTTGATCTGCTTCTCTACCTATTCAGAAGGTATTTATTACTCACCTAATTCAAGTGATCTCGTTTTACTTTACTTCCTTCTCCTACTCCTTTTTATTTCCATAGTGTACTTTTATTTGTTTTTGACTCGCTCACGGCTCGTCTATGGTGCGAAAATTGTCTTGTGCAAATGAACTCAAGTCTGTGACTGGTCAAATGTTTAAAAGCCACCACCGGATATGATTACTGATACTGCCTTTCGGAAACTACATGTCACTCAAAGTGATTTTCAACGTTCACACACTAATGCGGATTGAACAACAGATAGATTTGGCTATGTCCTTGCAAAGTCTTAATATTGACGTTTGTTGTCTATTCGAGACTCGTATTCAAAAGGTACCACAAAATCACCCTCCATCTGTTGAATCGGAAAGCCTGTTTTGCGTGCGCTTGACCGGAGACCCTGTGGCATCTTGATCGGGTTTAGCTGGTGGTCGTGTTGGAATCGCACTAAGCGCCAGAGTAGAGGTAGTAATAACCGACTGAATCTCCATTAACAGTCGTGCATGTCCTGTTACATTGGAAGGCTTCACCAAAGTGAGGCAGAATCGGTGTGAAAACAATTTCTTGTTATCTCTGCCTACACTCCGACAGATTGCAGCACAGATGCGACTAAGTATCAATTCTGCTACAAATTAAATGATCGCAGTAAAACGCGTCCAACGTATATTTTAGTGCTAGCTAGAGATCTAAATTGGAAGGTCAGGTGTCTGGATACAGAGGAAAGTTATCTGGGTGGCTAATGGATACTCGCTGGTTGCAGGTCGGATAACGGCGATCGTTTTCCGCAGACGTGTTTCTGGGTAGAACCGACTTTTGGTATAGTCATCAGCGATGTACTGCCTGGCGTCCTCCCTATATAACTTAAGTCTGGACTCGAATTAACCGCATTAAGATCGGTTGCCGCTGGTGTGGTTGTGTACAAGACTGGCCATTTTTGCAGTGTGTACCTGGACTCTGATCATGTCTTGGTTTGCACCAATCTTATCCTACGTTTCACTGACCAACTAATTCATTGTCCCGAATTGATTGATGTAAGCGAAGTGGCTGCAGCATCCGTTGCAACCAAATATCAAACCGAGTTAGGTTTAGCTGCCAAGTCACCATAAATTATACATGACCACCTTGTACTAGAGTTTATCACTTACTAACTGGCTTTCCATCCATCACTTTCACAACCGAAAATTAATCATAACATATCAAAAACCCTGTTTTGCAATAAGGGAAGATTGATTTTAAATTAGTAAACTAATTTAGTTATATCGACCAATTATTCGAAAACGTTAGACCTGTAGTAAATTTGTGTTTATCAATGGTTACGTATTTCTCTGTGAGTTGGCATTTTACTGCCATATTTTAAAAGAGGGATTAATTAAACGTGACAGCTTTTAAAAGTTATTACTTTTCAACCTATAAACTAATTTACTAAACCAAGGGATTAAAGATTATACTCTGAGGAACCACACCTCATTGGTACGGTTAACAGGACACGAACGATTAGAACACTAGGTAAAATCTCCTGGAGATACAGGTTTTGCTTAGCCAACCCATTAAATGTGAATTTTGTTTCAATGAAACTTGATGGTACGTGTTTACACTTATGATTTTGAATCAATATCTTGGAAAATGAATCATATGGACAGTAAGATACTGGCAGCACTTGGTCTAAGAAGCAGAACAAACTATACGTGCAAGAAACACATAAACACGAAATATGTAGCTAAGTAAGAACGGAGAAATATCTCTAAAATAATTATGTTAAGGTTATGAACAGGATAACTCACCATTATTAGAGCTTCACGTATTTGTAAGCAAATACTACAGTCAGGATATAACATTGAATTAGAGGGTCCAACAAGAATTTGATTAGAAACAAAACGGGTAAAACAGTGGTGTGCGATGCCAGTAGGAAGAAATACGCATGGAACCAAAGACAAAGCAAGTCCAACTCTAGTGAACATATTAAAAAACGATCTTGAGCGATAAGTTACAAGTAAACTTGAAAAAAAGGTAGCTACTGTTACTGCTTCTCCTCCAAACTTAAGAGGTAACACTTCTAGAGGTTTGTTCCATGAATTGATTATTTGAAGACGCAGAGCAAGTGCCTCAGAAGGATTTAACTGTATGGCACCATGAGGTACAGTTTTAGGGTTATAAACGAGAACCCCTTCAGCACGTTCAACCGACTTATCCATATTTTACATCAAACGCTAAAATTTATTTGAAGAGATCTAAAAACATGAAAATAAAGATTAATGACAGAATATTTTATTACTGAGATTAAGCTTGTCAAACTGCAAACATTAGTCTGTAGCTTAACGGAAGTAAGACAATTTTCCATGACTAGTAAATCACGTCAACCTTTAGACCTAAATGCGAACACAACCTTGTGAAAATTAAGTGATTGAATATGTTGGTGAAATGCATTTATTAGGATAGTTGGAAGGAGTCGATGAGTAAATGACAAATATAAGACGCTGCGCATGTTTCTTTAATATTATATTTATCATTAATATTATATATCTATGAAGGAAAGTGAATTTATGTGCATAGTAAAAATCATGTTTTATCGAACTCTTATATTACGCTTTGTACCGATACAGTGACGCAACTAGCCCTACATTTATCATAAACTTTCGTTCTAATTAACTAAACCAGTTTTCGACCAGAAAACGGGAAGGAAAAACAGAAGTACTGGGGATTCGGTGGTTTGTTGCCATATTACACTCTTTATCTTCCCATGAGATTAAAATGCTTTATACCTCTATTTCTACGAACTTATTTTTTCTTCCTATTTTATATGTCTAAATACAATCGTTTTATATATATATATTGCTACCACTGGAGTAACTAAGTCTATGAATTCGGTACTAATGAGGTATGGCAATTTGGGCCAATGCATGTATGTGCCTGGTGCTACGTTGTAACTGACTGACTGATATTACCAGGTTTATGAGGCCGTCAGTTAGATCTTTTCTTGTTTTCAAGTGTTACACTGAAGCATTCTCAATAACTAAGAACGAGATGTGTGGAACAAGAAAACATGCTGCGATGTGACGGCCAGACTTCCGTAGGCTTGTTTCTAGCCTGAAGGTTCCTCGTATTAGATGAGAAAGGGAGGTGTTCGAATCTATAAATAGTTCAAATGGTTGTGGACAGAATAGAAGCTTTCACTTAACGGGCTTCCGTGTCTAGTAGCAGTGCATCATCAATACCTTCAAGCAGGAACCTATGTATATTCTTGATAAAAGGGGAAAAAATTTGTAAATCATAGTAAGACATTATCCCTAGTCCTTAAGAATAGGTCAAGTTGCCTCTTAGAGTACTCCCGGGAAGTCGCTTGCACTGGCTAAGTCGGCAGCGAATTCCAGCATTTGACTACTCCAAAGGAGTAAAGTTATGTCCACAGTCCGTTCTGCTGTGTTGTGTTCCTATTTCCTGGGTGTTACCCGTTAGGTTTGTGTTGGAGCTAAGCTTAAGTGTTTAAGAGGATGTCCAGAGGTTTTAAGGATACTGTAGGCCATTAGAATGTCACCTCTAACACGCCTATACTCTAATGAGTAAAGGTCTAGTGATCGGGGGCGCTGTTCATAAGGCTTGAATTTGAGTCCCCGAAATGATTTCGTGGCTCGTAGTTGGATACGCTCCAGTGTCCTTATCCTTTTGGAGTGAGGAAGGACATACTATTCTAAATGCGGACAAATAAAACTGTTGAAGATTATGTGGTAAGTCCTATCATCAAACTGGTCAAAAATGGGCTTCAATGTTACCAATGCAAGGTTTGCTCGAAAGGCATTTTTGTCAGTTAGCGCAAGACTTCGAATCGTAGGGATGAAAGAACAGGAGAAAAAGTGAGACGACCCGGTAAGTAAATAGAATGCAAGTACAGCTAATCAGAAAAGTAATCGATAACAATAAGATATAACCCAAGTTTGCGATTAAAGCAATCTAACGATCAGGAACGGGGTCGGTAGCGTCATGTTTCAGATGCGCTAAGACTTGACGTCCTTCAAGTGTCAAATTGTATGAGTAGAAAAATGAGCTATTTGATTCCCTGTAATCTGTAAAAAGAAATCACATGAGTATAGATTGTAAAGTGTGGCATTCAAACAACTTCAATATGTCATTTTTGTTTTTTGATTTGTGTAGTAAGGACTGAAGACACATGGCCTATTTTATAACATAGGAATTACAAAGGAATATATTCCTTTTCTAGTATGCTTCTGTAAGTGTCCAGTCTTCTCTTCAGTGAGTCAATTGAAGGTGTGGACACCACTGCTTCGGGCAACAGGTTCCAAGTGTTGATGACCCAGTGTGCCATGGGTTTTTGTTCGTTCTTGGTTTTTAACTCGCCTGCTATGTCCTCTGAGATGTCCAGATCTAGTGGGAAGAAAAAGAGAGAATATGGTAGGTCCAAACTCATTTCTTAATGTTCTTTGCATCAAAATTAGTTCCCTCTTTAGTTTGCGACAAGTCACAGTAAGGAGGTCCAGCTTTTCATGCCACTCTTTTTATGATACCCAAGCTCCCAACTTTGGGGAAATTGTGTGGAAATGCCCAAAGTAAATTAGTGTTCCCCAAAGTTAGGGGGAATTTCGGGGAAAGACGCGAAATCTCTTCAGGATTGCGAAAAAGTTTGGGGTTTCATTAATAAATATAAGCCCACTTCCCCAAAGTGAGTCCGTTAAAACTAATGTGGTCAGCATTCAATGTTGAAACCTTACAGAGCTATTTATTTTGGGGATTTATTTACCGCTACAGACCAACTCCTCTCTAGTGGGGTGGTGATGACCCTAGGACGTGGCCAGTCAGAAGTTTAAACTCAACGAGTTTGTCGTTGGTAAACACTCTTCTGATAGCTTGCTAGGTTTAGCAGCATTTGGTTGTCTTTATTTACTATAAGGGACCATGCAGTAAAATATAGTAATAAAGAAACAAAGTGTAATGAAAATTTCAGTTCCTTCTAAACTTAATCGTTATTTTTATCGTATTTCCTAGCCGTCCTGGAAAATAAAAAATTATGTAAGTGCATGCCGAAATACGTTGAAGAACTTTGAAAGGTCCCTCGTATGCTGATTCGAAAGGTCGTCGATGTGAGTCTCAACGAACGAAAACGTGTGTACTATATCGTAACTCAGGTTGAACGAAAACATCAGTTGTCTGCAGTCGAATGGAAACAGATCTAAATAAACGCATTGCGTTCGTAAGACTACTCGTGTAGGAGTTTAGATCCATATTCATAAAAGAAGACAAAGAATCCATGAAGTATCGTTCCATAAACGAGTTGAGTTGCAGTGTATCCGATGTTAGCTTTCACTGCATTGAGGATACCAAGTAAGACAATCAGGTCATCGGTCCACTGTGAAATGTTTGCAGCCGATAGGGAAAATGTTAGCTGCCGGTGAAAGCGCTCTATCAAGCCGTTTGCTTGTGGGTGGTAAGCGGTCGTTCAGAAGCGAGTGATTCCTAATAGTGCGGTCAGACAACGGAAAGGTTCAGATTGGAACTAGCGTCCACGATCTCTAGTGATGGTTGAAGGGCAACCGTAGTTTGCTACCCATCGCCCAACGAACGCGCGGGCCAATGTTTCAGCAGTGATGTCCTTGATAGGTACTGCTTCTGGCCATCGAGTGAAACGTTCTGCACAGAGTAAGAGATAAGAGTATCCATTTGAATCTGTTAAAGGTCTTACCAAATCCAGATGAATGTGGTCGGGACGAGCATCGGGAGTTTTGAATGAGCCTAAGGGACATTTGTTGTGTCTGATAACTTTAGATTTTTAACAGCTTACACACGAGCGTGCCCACTCCCTCACGTCTTTATTCATGCCAGGCCAGCAAAACCGTTCTGCTATAAGCTTGATGGTTGCACGGACGCCTGGATGAGAAAGTTTGTGCAATGTATTGAAGACAATGCGTCGATAATGTTTTGGCACGATTGGACGATCCCTACCTGTGAATGTGTCACACAGTAAGGTTTCCTTACCTGTTCCCATCTGTTTGATGCGCAGCTTAAGGGTTGTTCAGGATAAATCGTGCTGAAGGTCAATATCTTCTTTTTGAAGCTGAACGAGTTTAAGAAGGTCGATTCCTTGAAAACCTTTCAAGGATGTTATGCGAGACAAGGAGTCTGCGTCTACATTGTTTGTTCCAGAATTGTGTTGAATGTCTGAGGTGAACTGTGAAATGTAGTTCAGTTGTCAAGACTCACGTGGTGAATACTTGTCTGAAAAGGAGCTTAAAGAGCATCTAAGAGGTTTGTATTCGGTTCAAAGTGTGAATGCATGGCCTCCAACAGAGTGTTGAATGTGCCGTACAGTACTGTACGTGGCTAAGAGGTCTCTATCGAAACTAATATACCTCGATTCGGAGTCTAGCAATCGTCTCGGAAAGAATGCCAGTGATTACTTGATGTTGCTTATCCACTGTTGTAAGACTACTCTGATTACCGAGTCGGATGCGTCTACTGCGACACCAATGTATGCTTCGGTGTCCCTGTGTGCGAGCAAAGTTGCTTTGGCGGTCAGTTCCTTAACTGTGGAGAATGCTTCTTTCGTAATGTCGTCCAAATTGGTGGATTTCGGATTTTTACGAAGTCAGTAGGTTAAAGGTCTCATAAGGAACGCGCAATTTGGTATGAACCATCTGTAGAAACTCACTAAGCGTTAAACGTGCGTAGTTGCTTGATTGCGGTCGGTTCTGGGTAATCCAGGATGGTGGCCAACTTTCTTTTCAGAGGTCGGATGCCTTGAGCATCAATAATATGTTATAAAAAATCTCGAGAGTCAGTGCAGATTTGACATTTCCTAGTGTTTACAGTACAGTCATCTACGTATGTGTGTAGGAAGTTGAGACCACGAAAGACGTCGTCTATGAATCTCTAGAATATTTGTGCAACATTTCTTAAGCGGAAATGCCTGCACCAAAGGTGTGACGATAGTGGTTTTAGAAATATTGTCAGC